CACATCAACCGTGATAGAATAGAATTTTATTTATGTCCCTACTGAGTCTATGACTATGAAGGACAGCTAAAACTATCTAAATAGCTTTAAAGTTAACAGTAAATTTGTATGTTTCAACCGTGATATCATTCTACCTTACACATTATGTAAACCAGATATCTAATGTAATTTGCCCTATTTTATGCTCTACCTGCTGCTCGAGGCTTCTTTACATGCGCATGGGTATCGTGGGGAGGTGCATGAGATATTTGGAATCAGACTAGGAAATAGAATTTCACTCCTTCATTATTAGGCACAATACTAAGTCTTATCTATTTATAATATTTATTGCCAAATCCTACATTTTTGCCAGAAAGCTGCATAGCGCCCCACGCTAGTTTATTATCTATTTGACATTGTGAATCCCATTTATATACCTTCTTTACCTTCAATGCATAATTTCGCTTTTCGTGCTACAATGTAGTGAGTGTGGGTGCTGGTGTGGGTATATCCAGCGGTTTCGACGCCTTGCAAAAGGCGACAATGGCGACCACAAACAACCGCAGCAAAGCGCAGACAGATCCATTGGACAAGAATCTTTAAATCCAAGGGAAACTATTGAAACAAGTTAGATTTATCGTCATGGGCGAGATGGATGAGAAGGACCTACCATCAATGGAGGACGTGAAGACTTTCAACGTGCACAAAAGGGCCTGGACGGAAATGTCCCAAATGAAGTCTCTAATCGAGGAGAGGATGATGACACTAGAGGGGGTTGTCAAGAAGAGCCTCGTGGATCCTGTCCGTAATGCTGCATCAGGAGTGGCAGCAGGGATGCCGCAACTAAGGACTTACGCGTCGATCGTAGTTCTACATATGAAGAAAACGGCGGTACGAATTAGAATCGACGGAGCAGATAAATTGCAGCCAGAAGAGCTGCGATCGAAGGCGAAAGAGCACATCGATGGCGCATACGCAATTCGTCAGATGCGCAGTAACAACACTGAGGTTTTCGTCCAGTCTGCGTCCCAGAGAGATGCAGCGCCAAATATGCGACAACCAACCGGCTTGAAACTTTTGAGGCAAGACTTTTCAGTTGAGGTTTCCGGAGTCCCACCGCAGACAAGAATTAAGAGCGACAGAGACGCCGACAACTATGCCTTCATCAGAGAGATTGAGACGTTGACGTTGACTGGGGCTCGGATTCTCGGCCTTACAATTAATAGAATACGATGGAAAGTAACACCAGCGTCCAATTATAAATGGCCGCACTCGTGGTTCAATAGTGGTCAGCCTCCCATCGGAGGAAATGTAAACGAATGTAGTTCGACATGCCTTGTCATCAACGCCATGTTCTTCACTGCGCAAGTGTGGTCACTGCGGGCCCAACCAAAGCAATGTTTTAACTGCAGCCAGTGGGGACACACGCAGGCGTCATGTAGAAAGATAGCCAGGTACGGTGAGTGCGCTAGTGCTCACCAAACTCGGGACTGTCTGAGAAAAAGGCTTTCTTGTGTGAACTACGGCAAGAAACAACGTTCATGGCAAAAAGAAGTGTGTCGAACTTACCAAGTCTACGAGGTATGGAAAAAGCTCGGATACAGCTTCTGTCAAAAACGGCGGGAATCTGGAATGAAAACTCCCCAGTGGAACCCAAACAAACAGTCCGGATGACAGATGATCAGAGATTCACTTTGGTCACTAGTAAGAAGACTGAAGGACGTAAAGGAGGGCTGGGACGACTGCGAAAGATATCCGATGCCCTAGCGGCACCAATCATCCCCGCGACAATCGCACCACCATCGAGGCCGACTCTTCCAGCACTTCGAAGACCAACGCCGAGTGAGGGGGTGCCTTATCTTTTCAATTTCTCTTAGCAATATTCTGATCGAAGGGAAAGTTATTGAAATTTGGGAGAAGTTTATGAGGTTATGGTTGAAAGTAACGTCCTCAGTATTGAGCCGGGTCGGTTGGATTGTGAATTGAATTGTGTGTTTGTTTATTGTACTACTTGATCTATAGACTATCTAGCACATTGAGCTCCTCTTTGACCCAGGCCACACTTTGTACAGTGCTCCTTGCCTCTTATGTTCCTTGAAAGATCATTGATATATTTCCCTTGATGAATAGCCATTCAGCTCAGTGTTTACCCGTGGAATTCGGCCACCTATTCCACGGAACCTTCTACCCAAAAAAAAAAAAAAAAAAAAAAAAAGGTAGCAATGGAAACTGCGTGCGCGGGAAAAAGTCTCAAAAAACCTGCAGCTCTAGCCAGGTGAAGCCTAGTCACCGGTACCCCATGAGGTGCGCATATTCATCTATATCTCCCTTTTTTGTAACAGTCGAGGTCGACTTGATCCAATCCACCATCTCCGTATCGGGTGCTGGGTACGCTCCGGAAACTCATCAGATGGCATCTCCTCCATGATCAAGGGTTGGTGATGAGTAGGGCTCCAATCCTACCATCTGATCTGATCGTGGTTAGCTTCATGATAATGGTGATGAGGGGTTTGTTTTGAGAGATGAAGACGATACAGACCGCGAAAGCTATTGGGAACCATTATCGAAGTGAAGGCTTTGTTACTCAATCACGGCTCTGCAGACTCTACAGTGAGAGCTAAAGATTCGGAGGGGACACCACTAACATGTGTTGAGAATAGTCCCCCTCATCCCCCGCTGTATCCAGCCTATTGATATTGATCTAGACCAGATTTAGATCTGGTTTCTGAGCGAGTCTATAAATTTGAGAGTCTGTTCACCACAAACATCAAGGCTTTAAACTGATAGTGGATTCCAGGACCAATAAGTTGCTTTTATCTGGTCGAGCCTGTGGGTTAAGCTGGCCTAGATAATTCTAAAAGTCCGGCGACACACCAGAATCCAATCATTGCATAGCCTTCCATATACCGTATTTACCATCCGCGTGGAAATCATGTTCCCACTCATGCCCCGTGTACAATCGTGTGATGGCTAGGCTATTGATACACCTAGATAGCTCAATACAGTACGATAATTAAAAAGATTGCCTAGAGTTGTGGCTTAACGTGTTGTCCACGGCGACTGCTCTTCCGAATTTCGAGTACAGCTGTGTGAAGCTGCAGTCGCTACGAGGCTATCGTTATAGTTCAGATAAATCCAGCGTTCAAAGTTCCCAGCGAACTCTCAATGCCACCATTACAGACGGGCGAAGCCTCTGCAGAACAACCCATCGCATCGGGTAGATAATTTTAGTGGAGGCTTCGATAGGATATTTGTTTGAGGTATACAAAAACGCTATCGTGAAGTGTTATCACTCACATACTACAGTAAATGTTGGGCAGTGAGCACGCGCCAAAGAGAGGTCAAAAAGACATTTGGGTTGGCAAATAATACTCATCATCCCTGGCAAAAACGCAGCCAGCGGTCAATAGAGCCGTACTAGACACGAATCCCTACTTTCTGGCTCGGATTGGAACCAAAGGTACATGAACTGTACTGGGAGGAACTCACTCTGATCTTCCGAGCCGGATTACAGATCGAGTCGCATGAGGCGGCAGAGCGGTCCGGCAGAGGATGGCCATGACCAGAATAAAGGAGAAGATGAAAGTGAAGAGAATGGAAGGGCGTCGGGCTCGAATGCTAGGGATCTACTGAAGGCAGCTAAGCTACCCAGAGGCAAGGCAAACCCCGCATGGCGCCGGATAAAGTGCCAGGGCTAATTTTTCGAGAATCTTAGGGCCTTTGGCTTGGATTAATAGGAAATTCTTTACACCACTTTCCACTTCCAATGGCGCCCTAGCCAACTAGCTCTCTACTTGACGTGTAGAGGTGAGATATGTGTCTGCGACATAGCTTTCGAATGGAAGAGGAACACCTTCCCTCGGACCCAAGGCAAAGCCGCTCGCAAGGGTGAGACAAGCCTAGACTTATGCCATGTCGACGCGAAGGAATAGCTTTAAATGAACTACTCCTTACCATCTGAGACCATCTGAGACCATCTGAGAGGCGTAGGATGCCCCTCCAACCGACTAGAATTGCCTGCCTGCCGTGGAAAATGCGCAGAGCAGGGTGTGCGGCAAAGTCGAGACGTAGCTATTTCACCACTGCCCGGAACTCGCGGAACTTCGTCGGCCTCAAGCTACGTGGCACAGGGGCTTCCGAACGGACCGAGTCGGATTTGTGGAATCAAGGTAACTTCGTCTCTACGACGCCACGCAACCATCATTTCCGGCCGAAACTCCGCGTGCCATCCGACTCCACCGTCATTCTACGACGCGACGTTGCCCAGCCTGCAAGGCTATTGGGGAAGCCTGACCATGCGCAGGATCGCAGGGAAGATAGCGCGAGGGGAGAATTGGCGGCGGAACGTGAATCCCCGACGACGAAGACGACGCCAAAGTGCGATGATTGACCGCGACGTTAGCATCGCCAGCGTATCGATGCGCAGAGAGGTTCAGGAGTGGTGAGCGCGTCGCTGTCGCCGAGACACAAGAGGATGCGGCGCTAGTGCTGGGGGAAGAGAATCCTCTGGACGGTCCGACTCGACATGACTTATCACACGAGCGATGCTCACTCAATCAGGTGGGTCCAATTTCACATAAATCGTGAGAGTCAACAAAATTCAACTCTGTGCAAGCTCTAATTCTCAGGGATGCGGCGACCGCCATTGGCTGAGCACAACAGATGACCACCCAGACTAGCCACAGATATCGCACCACAGAATTTGAGCTTTACTGGACTCACAACGATTATGGTCTGTACAAAATTTAGAGAAGACCGACTCACGCGAGCCTTAAGAGCTTGGGTGAAGATGGCAAGGCAGCGGTTGGAGATTTATTGAAGCATGGAAACCAGTGAAGTGTGAGCCAAGCACATAATTTATTGGACTCCAGGACCTCTCTACGTTAAAGGATATAAGAATAGTAATAATAATACATGTGCTTGTGCCCTCATGCGCAAGTCTTTTTAATTCCTGCGCCCAATGTGTCTGCGCAAAGGCTTCCGGCGCCATATCCAAAAATTCCAACCCTCCAGCTTGTGCCCTAATTATAGTTTCGGTTTTTTAGACTCGCAGCTCTCCTGGCTGCGCCTCCGTCGCCACCACTGATGAGCCCACCTTTCACAAACGGGCCCTCTGAAGCTGGAGTCGTTCGGCATTTTTCGCGAATAGATTTCGCATCTTCACGACGGAGCATACTATTAAATCGTGGAATATCATCACCAGGTAGAACTGGTGATGTGGCAGCTTCGATTAGGGGCCCACCATCAATAGGTCGAATCACCTGACCTTTTCCACGACGATCCCACTGTGGTGGTCCTTTGAATATTGGTGTGAAATCAAGTAGACTGCGCTGGTTTGGCCCCTTGTAACTTGGTTCTATTGGCCCGTCAATGTTCGTTGGACAGCTACCAGCACGCTTGAGACCAGCATTACTACTAATGCTTGCCGAAGCTTCCTGTTCGCGCTTTCTCTCAGAGTAGGTGCGACCCAATAAACTCGACGATAGAAATTCACCGTCTGTATCAGTTGGTCCTGGTGCTTTGTATGATAATGGTGGGTGTCTACGTGGGTTACGTTGGTGTAAGGAAGTTTGAAGTGGCCGATCATCAGAATCTTCATGTCTAGAGTGGTACTCATCTTCGACATCCCTAACATCACTGTTGTTCATTTGCAGAAGGGGCTGGAAAGAACTAACGCCCGGAGAACTTTCCTCAGCTGAAGCCTTTGCCGAATTCATGCCATAGCTGGCAGATTTTGTTGCCATAGCTTTGATATCTTTAAAACCCTGATAACCGTCGCCTTTTCGGTTTATTATAAACCAACTACGCCATTTCTGTACAGCCGAGTGAAATTTCTCTCCTGTGGTATCATCTTCCGTGCTAAAGTAGTGCACAAAATTCTCACCACTGAGAAAAACAGTCGTCTTTTGTTGACTCTTGATAGCGTAACATATTTTCTTGGGCGGACTCAGCGAGGCCCAATTATGTGGAGAGCTGACTGTGTAAATATCAAAATCTGATAGGTGACAAATATTTGCGTAATCTTTGTCCGTTGATTTGGCACCAAGTTTTTTTGCGATGAAAATCTGCCCAGAAGGTAGGAGAGTGACATATCGTTTGTTCCATTTCCCCGCCTTCTGGGAGTGATAAAGGTGAAATGTTATTTCCGGTGGTGCCTCGACCCGTGTAAGATTCGTGTCAAGTTCTTTATCATAGTTATCAGAGGTAGTATGTTCTAGAAGAAGAGCATTTTGTGTATCGCGGTCCCATGAATTCATGACATCTCTGATGCATTCATACCTCCGTATGCGGCGTCCTAGCCCGAGATTAGAATAAGATTCGAGTAAAACAGCACAAGACAGCGTCACTTTCTGGCTCATCATGTTGGCAGCTGCTTGGATGATGTCGGCCGGCTTCGTGTCAACAGTCACTGGTAAATTAATAGATGATTCTTTAAAGCGAATAAGAACACGCTAGGATTTCTTAGCAAAAAAAGGGTGATTCCATGGATGGTCAAAGATACTTACTCTCTCTTTGGCATTGACAGCAGATAATGGGGCGTCAACTTGGGGTGTACTATTGACCGAATCTAATCCTTGGCTTCTCTGACTCTCTGGGCTTGTCTTGGTCATGGAGGAAGTTGGTGTGTAGGGAGTACAGGGAGGCGAAGTTTTTGAGTATTTTCTCCGTGAAAATAATCCTATCAACTTTTCTTTCTTCGGACTGGGTGAAAGGGGAAAATTTGGGGTAGGTGGTGCTGCATCTAGCTCTGCCTGCAATCGCATAAGATCTTTCAGCTTTTGTAAGGCGAGTTGATCGGCTATCTTTTGGGGATCTAGTTGAGGTGGTGTCGGCACGTCTTCTTTGCTCTTTATTGTCGACTCTGAGCGAGTTGATTGAGATGCTGTCGTATTATGTTTGTGCTGTTTTATCTCCCACGGTCTCTTTGCTTCATTACTTTCAAACATAACTGGCGCTGGTTTCAAGGCATACATTTGTGGTTCGGGCATCGCATGCGACTTTTCTCCCGGAACTCGAGCTTCGGGTGATATAGGCGGGGCATACTGCGATTCGGCGTTTTCGGACGAGCCCCTTGTCCGTCTATAGCGAGCGATATTTTGGGTTTTGTAGCCATCGTTTTTCTGGGCCGGCAGAGATTCTGAGGAATTAGTTTGGCATTCGTGGGTTGTGGCACGCCGTGTATTCCGATACCTCAGATATTTCGGAGCAATTGTTTCAGTGTTGGCAAGCATCTTTTCAAAAAATACTGAATTGCAGTTTAAAGAGTGTGTAATGGATTTAGTATTACAGATAAATGTTGTGGCAAAAGTGAATGTCCATACTCCAGATTAAAGATGGAATGAGAGAAAATAAATGCCGCGAAGGCATTAGTGTAGTGTATCCACTTGTATCTTAAGGTACTGGAGGACACCCGTGTTTTAACACACTCCTTGGCAAGGTGCGCAATGCACACGGTTGATATTTCCAGGTCGTTGTGCGATAGCACGATTCGAAAGCTGGGGAGCGGAGGATTTGAATAATTGCTGGGGCACCGCAGCACACAGACGATGGAGAATGAGAAGACGGTGATTGGTTGGGTCTATGGCAAGGACTGGGTCGATACCAATGGCCTTTGTATTTTCTGCTGTTCCACAACGTTATGGAAAGGTGAGGCTCTATCGAAGATGATGATGTTCGCACATAGATACCCCTCTATCCAGCGTGGCAGTCAGAGGCCTAGATGACGCGATAGTGCGATAGCGATCCGATTGAAACACCCAGCAAACTTTTTGACAAACTCAATCACCCGAATCCTGAGGCTGGTCCTGGTTAACTAATGCGACGTAGCCCTGTCGAAACAGGCAGAGGATGAGGCTTATCATTCGCTTGCCCTCTGACGACATTCCTAAACATAGCGAATTGTCGTAGCCATCGACATAATGATTGAGAAAATCTTGAAGCTACTAATTGCCCACCTGCAGTGTTCCGTCTACATAGCGAATCTCAGACTTTGTGACTTTTACCAGTTGTGGGTTGCGCACTCCTGTAGCCAACCTGCTCGGCGGTGTGACTCATTGTGTTGTGGTAAATCTGCGATTGTCTACAATGCAAGTTACATACCGCGCACTTGCTATACAGAGATAATTCTAAAGCTAATGATACCGACAGATTTTTATGCTCTTGCACTCGGGACAACTGTGGCTTCGTCATGCACTCTTGCGAATATTCAGGGCCAGCATGATGCCGCATTTGTGACAGCTCTCGCCGCTCGGACAGCCGGCGCTATCTAGCTTGTCCAATGCAAGTCTATCATTTTTACATCTGGCTAACATGCCACGATATATCAAGCAAGCAAGTATGAATCGATGAACGTGTAAGTATTTTGGTATAGCTAAAAGACAGTCTTGCTAATACTAAATTATTTTCATGGAACTTCAATATGCAGAATCGACAGTGGCAAGAGCTCCTCTTCAGCCCCCTGGTTTTCCTAACCCCATACCAACTAATGGAGTTAGAGACGGTCTGATACATGAGATTGAGCTTACGAGAGAGCTTTGATCTGATAAATGCACTAAATTACCCCTTATCATGATTATCACAGGCATTTCAGAGGAGTAGGTTGTAGGCGTAAACCTTCACCCTATGCGAGAAAATAAAGTCAAAGGTACCAGGTGAAAGTAAATATTCACGGCGGAGAACGCATCAAGCTATTTCAGACGGCTACGTTTGAATGAGCGAAACTGTTCAATTGTTCCCGGCGCTCCCATCTATGTTCATGCCGCTGGTAAGGATGGGGAGAGTTAAGGACTGTGCGCCAAAACTCTGAGTTTGTCTCGTAGATATCCCAAAGTCCTGTGGTACCCGCTCTAATCAGGGCAGCGGCAGATCAGCCCCCAGAGGACCCTGGGATGTAAGAGGTGCAAAGCAGCCTTCCGAGCGGTGTCAGCACCCCAGAATCGTACAAATCTCGCCAAAAGCTCCCATCAAACTGGTCAAGGGAAGCACTGATTAAAGAACAGTCCAGGTGCTGAGGAAGTCGTCTGACAACTACAGGTTGGTACGCTGGGAATTACCCCTTAGATCAAGATCCTAACCAGTCGTCTCATGATGGTAGAATTGTCTCTTACTAGAGGCGCGTGCTACAAGTAACCGCAATATTATCACATGCGTTGTTAATCCATATAGCTTGAATAAATAAAACTCTTTAACAAAGATAAATCCTAATTTAGGCTTTAGTGTTTTCTATTTTTCAGCGAATGGATCTATAATTTTAGCAGATATATTTTGACAGACTGCCCAAAATTTATCAAACTGCAATGTAGCACGTTCGGACATCCATTCGTGTAAGCGCCTATCCCTTCCGTTTCAAAAAAGCGGAGGTGGAGCTTCTGCGGAAGCCTAGATGAGACCCTGTCGCAATGGGATAGACGCCCACAGCGCTTCTTAAACCCGTATACGGAGATCGGGAGAGGACATCCCAATATTCCATCGCAAGCAAGATGATCAGCAGCTCCACTTCACAGTGTTACTAGCAAATGAAATCCGAGGCATGAGTGCTATGTTTTTAAAATGAGTCATCCATTTTGTACTTTAGCTCCGATATTGTGCCAATGCTAGATAGCTACATAAGCAATTCAAATCTGATGCAATGGAAAGATCAGCTGCTTATGGATCGATTCTCTCCTGAACTAAGCTGTTAAATTGTTGTCACCTGCTTCGCCTATGATTTTGATGGACAAGCTTACATGACAGACTTTGAATTTTTTTGAAATTAAAATTCAAGGATAATTTGAGGTAATTCTTCACTGAAGGTTGAATAATCCGGCGAAACTGGCGAATAAAATGAACAGGCTGTTTTTGAACCAAACATAGTTGTCCACCCTCGAGATCTCGTAACTGATGCTCTGACATTCGATGTTCCGGCAAAATCTCAACCTAGATACTGGTGAGTAATATGCTGTATAACTATCTGTGTTGCCAATTTTATTTTCCTGGAAAATGCCGCGCTAGTGCACATGTTGGATCCCACGATACAATGTAGCTCCACAAATCAAAGTGGACACTGGGGCATCCATTGAATAATTTCCGAAAAAAAGAGCCAGGAGACTGCCATCTCTCTCAGCACTGGTAAGTCGGAGATGATTTTGTTTACCAGACGCCATCAGGAAAGGGCTGTCGGAGCGCAATTCAACGATACTGCTTCAACTGTTGGAACACCCTGAATGACCTGACTAGGGATGAACCCGCGAGATGCTCGTTAGAACTTCGGGCTGCGGAACCCACTGAAATTTGCAACGCATGAGACGTTGGACCCCAGCAAAAGGGGTGTCATTCTTGGCTACCTTGTCCGGGCAGTAACGGTCCGTGTGCTCCTTGCCGCCACAAACAGATGCCGCATCTAGTCACTGGCAACAATCTGATTCCCACTCGCTCATCTCAACTCTATGGAAAATGAGGATTGTCGGTCGTAATTTTGACACATCAGACATGGAGGAGCCGCCCCGACGCAATGGCGGCATCTCAGGCGTCCAAATTATCTCCAAAGTCTCGGTCAGCGTTCAGCAGTATTCAAAATTGAGGGAGATCCCGATGGTTTAATGGTACACCGCCAGAATTAGTCTTTCATATGTAGTTAGAGCAGATACAACATCTATTTCGCGTGAGAGACGCCGTCACCGGCGAGTGTTGAACGAGATGTCGTCACACCTATCGCCATCAATGTGAAACAGATGGGAAATTTCTGCTTAGATTCCCGTAGGCAGTGTAATTTATCTCTTGTTGAGGTTCACGATCGAAGGGAAACAACGCTGCGTGAGGGGAGACACTCGGTGGTTTGGCTCGCCAATTAGATGTGGAGAGTAATCCGCCACCTGACAGTCTCCAGCTTTTATGATGATTCTTATAATACATTCACCGGGGACTATTCTCAACACCTGTCAGTGGTGTCCCCTACGAACCTCCAACCCTCACTGTAGAGTCTACAGAGCTGAGATTGAGTAACGAAGTCCTTCCTGCGATGAGGATTCCCGGTCGCTTCCGCCGTCTGTATCGTCTTCATCCCTAAACACAACCCTCCCCATTACCACTATCATGAAGCTAATCACGATCAGATCAGATGGTAGGGTCGGAGCCCTACTCATCACCAACCCTTGATCATGGAGGAGATGCCATCCGATGAGTTTCCGGAGCGTACCCAGTGTCTAGGCCGCGCCTGGCTGGGGCTGCAGGTTTTTTGGGATTTTTTACAACGCACGCACGCAGTTTCCATTGCTACCATTTGACTATTTTTGGGTAAAAGGTTCCGTGGAAAAGGTGGCCGAATTCCACGGGCAATATGTCAATGATCTTACAAGCAACAAAAGAGGATAGGAGCACTGTACAAGGTGTGGCCGGGGCCAGAAAGGAGCCCAATGTACTAGATAGTCAAAGACTCAAGTCATAAATAAACATACCTCTCTCTCTCTTAATACATTCACCAGTGCTGGACTGTCAGCAGCTCACTCTAGGATCCATCTAATGTTGTACGGGTCAGCACCTTTCCTCCAGCCACAGCCCGAATTGAATGCGATTACGTAATATGGGCATACCCATGTAGGAGGCCATACTTCAGGCACTCTTACTTAGGCTTGTCGCAGCGCGGGACAGCTTGAGAATACTCTGGCTAGCCAGCCTGCCTGTTGCATCTCTTCTGCCAAACGTCCGGGCGTATGTTTCCGTGAGATGGATAACCCCATCGTGTACGTGACGAACTCGCACGGGTTTGATTTGAATGCAATTCGTATCAGGCCTGTGCCCTACGCACAAGGGACGTGATACACGTATGTGGTCCCTAAGGGCTCATATTAACCTACATGAACTAGCCCTTTTGGGCTGGAGTAAAACAAAGAAGATGAATATGAATTTTCACAGCAAAAAGCTTGGTCCACCCACAAAGAGGCGACAAATTTTTTCATCGATCAACATCATCGACAAATCTCCTTAGTGATCCCTACTTTCCCAGAGAATACCTATATGCTCACAACATTGCTAACTCTCCTCTCCAATCATCGTTTTAAGCCGTGATAGGGCTTTCTGCTCACAGTTTCTTCAGCGCTGCAAAGTGCCATGGTCTCTTCTCCCGATGCCGAGAGCAACTCAGGCTCTCATTCTCGTGGCGAAATCGCCAATGGTCGCCGGCAAAGTCCCCGGGACTGGCACGAAATAAGGCGAATTCTTAAATTAGGAGTTTGGCCTGCAGAAATGATCTGCCGCA